AAAAAAAGCACTTGTCTTAAAGACATAAATTAAATGAATAATTGAATTAATTAAACGTAATAATTATAATTTATTTAGCTAAATAAAATTATTAATGAATTTTTCAACCTTAAAAATATCAATCCTGGTTCATGACACTTAATCATTAATAAAGACTAATGAATTCAATTGATTCATATCGTTCTCTTACGTCATAAGAAATATGGTGTCCGAAGAAAGGGAAACATTTATTACGTAGCAGAAGTGGTCGTTTTTTTAAGCACTCGAACACTTAGGTAATTAAAAAAAACACTTGTCTTAAAGACGTAAATTAAATGATTAATTGAATTAATTAAACATAGTAATTATAATTTATGTAGTTAAATAAAATTATTAATGAATTATTCAACCTTAAACATATCAATCCTGGTTCATGATACTTAATCATTAATAAAGATTAATGAATTCAAATGATTCATGTCGTTCTCTTACGTTATAAGAAATATGCTGTCCGAAGAAAGGGAAAAAATTATTACTTAGCAGAAGTGGTTGTTTTTTAAAACACTCGAACACTTAGCTAATTAAAAAAAAACACTTGTCTTAAAGACGTAAATTAAATTATTAATTGAATTAATTAAACATAGTAATTATAATTTATTTAGTTAAATAAAATTACTAATGAATTATTCAACCTTAAACATATTAATACTGAGTTCATGATGCTTAATCATTAATAAAGGTTAATGAATTCAAATGTTTCATGTCGTTCTCTTACGTCATCAGAAATATGCTGTCCGGAGAAACGGAAACATTTATTACGCAGCAGAAGTGGTCGTTTTTTAAAACACTCGAACACTTAGCTAATTAAAAAAAAAAACACTTTTCTTAAAGACATAAATTAAATGATTAATTCAATTAGTTAAACATAGTAATTATAATTTATTTAAATAAATAAATTATTAGTTTATAAGTATAAAATAATTTATTAGTTTATAAATTATTTTATATTAGTTTATAATATTAGTTATACATTAGTTTATAAATTATTGTTATTATAATTATTAGCTTTTAAGTATTAGTATAAAATTATTATTCAACGTTAGACATATCAATGTTAAGTTCATGATGCTTAATCATTAATAAAAACTGATGAATTCAAATGATTAATCTCGCTCCCTTACGTCATAAGAAATATGTTGTCCGAAGAAAGGGAAAAATTTACTACGCAGCCGGAAAAGTCGTTTTTTGTGACACTCGAACGATTATGGATTTAAAAATGACACTCACTTTTTTAGAACATGAAATGATGTGACAATATATGACTTAATTATAATCTTTTGAAAGAAAATAAAATATTAAATTACTTACCCGTTAATGTTCTGAATTGAATTTTAAAAGGTAAAATGGAATGAATTCATAATGGATATTTAAGTTTCATAGAGAATTTCGCAAACTTTTCAAATATTTCTCAAACTTTTTTAATTATAATCTGTAATTCAATTTAATTTAATAGATTAATTTTTATTCGTACAAAATTTTTAACATAAATACTGAAGAGATAACAGATAAGATTAAGGAGTATTTAAAATTGCTCATATTTAATAGCTGTTGCTCGATTCAATAGTGTAGAATCTTCGAAAATAGCTTGAATAAGAGAAAATTGCATCTTTCACAGATAAAACAACATAAATGTGAACACCTGACAATCAATAATTGAATCCTTAACCTGTTAAAAACAATAAAAAAATATTTTATGAAGATATTTTTGCTTTCCAAGATTGCTCATAATTTTCAAATGTGCGAAGAAAATGTTTAGTTTAAAAGAAATAAAACCATTTCGGTGGTTAATATTTTTCAGCTATAGTTCAAAAGACTTAATTTCAGTATTCTTTTTAATGTTATGGTCTTGTTGTTGCTTTCTGGATTCAATAAAAATGTTCTATTTTTGAACTGATGTATTTGTGGCATTATAGTTCTTCGAATATTGCATGCATGAAAATTGCTTATGGTGTTGTTGCCAAATCTTTTTAAATTCAATAAAATTGCTCTAACTTTGAACTAATGTAACTGTGGCATTATAGTTATTCGAATATTGCGCGCATCAAAATTGCTTATGGTCTTCTTGCTAAAGCTTTTTAGATTCAATGAAATTGTTCCAACTTTGAACCAATGTAACTGTGATATAGTTCTTCGAATATTGCCAACAACAAAATTTCATGCGATTTCGTTGAACATACTTAAAAGTGAACTAAAGTGTTTGAAATGCTGAAACAAAGTTCAACATGAACCAAACTAATTTTGGTAGAGTGATAGGTCATATGTACCGTGGTTATTAGTCATTAAACCTATTATACTTACTTCTTAACAGTATTACCTGTTTGGCATGCATGCATGTCGGACCAAACTTCTATCGTTGTGCGTATGACGTGAAAATAAAAATCACTACTCGTCACGCAAATTAAAAAAATTATCGTGCAAAATAAAAAAAATCCATTGCGTAAACTAAAAAAATCATCGTGTAAAATAAAAAAACTACTTCTCGTCGTGTAAAATAAAAAATAATTTCTCTTCGTGTAAAATATACAAAATCACTACTCGTCGTGTAAATGAAAAATGTTCGTGTATACTCGTCGTGTAAAATAAAAATCCCTACGCGTCGAGTAAAATAAAAAATCATTGTTATAGCTGTCGTCATCCATTAAGGCAGAGCGTGAGCGATTTTTTTTGCTTTCCAGTGGCGCCATCTATGGCCAAGAATTCGAGTTCTGTCACACCCATACATTGCAGTTGTTTATTGAGAGGACCCATTCATACATTCATTCATCCACAAATCGTAGTTTTGTCCTTAACCAGATAGACCAATCTTCAATTCAGTACTCCCAGAGGTTTTGATTTGTTTTGGGAACATGGAGGACTTTGAGACCCGACAGATTTAACGTGCACCAGTCACAATTTACTACACGGGGAGTCTTCGACCCCTTGGATTCGAACATCCCTTCTCCCAAACGTGAGTCCAGCTCCCAGCCAAGCAAATTATCCCGGCCAAAAAAAATCCTTACTCGTATAAAATAGAAAATTGCCGTGTATACTGGTCGAGTAAAATAAAAAACACCATTGACCATCAGAACTCAAAATTTTAATAAAATACAACATGAATATTTATTTGTGGTGTGCTTGCTTTGTAGTACCAGTAAAACTTCTAAAAAGACTGCTATTATGGGCTGTGGGGAGAAGAGGGAGCACGCTGTCCGAAACCCAATTGCATTCCTAAATAGTAACTTTGGCAACGAGAGTAGATCGGCGGAGAAGTTGCGTGAACAATCAGCAGGGTCAATACTGACCCTTTGCCTTACAAGGCAAAGTCCTAGACATTCTTGACTTGATTACAAGAATCTGAAGCATTCGGTCCAAAAGGTCTCTCCTTCTTGCTTTTGCTACGTATTATTCTTATATTGTGTCTTATGTATTTTATTATTTTTCGTCAATTTCTAACAAGTTTCTAACAATAGTAACTTCTTCTGAAATGAACTGTTAATTATTTATTAAATACCAGCCGAATACCCTTCTTTCGATTTGGGCGAATAAAAAAATAACCAATAAAGTAGTACTGAATAACACTACGAAATCATGCAGAAAACTAAAGGAATACATCGACATAAGTCATTTTTGATGGTTTACCATTGATGGGCCAACATAATCTTGATGGTAACCACCAATAATTTCATCATGAACCATCATATATTTGATGGTAGCCAACATATAAAACCATCACCCTAATGTAGGAATTCTGACTGATGTATGATGGTCCTACATAAGAATAACAACTTGTTTTGATGGTTTGTTCGTGTTGAACCATCTGAAATTTCCATCGTAGTGTCTTAGAAATCAAATGTTGGAACAATCATGAACAACCATTATCCCAATGTAGGAATTCGGGCTGATTTATGATGGTCCAACATAAGAATAGCAACTTGTTTTGATGGTATATTCCTGAGAACCAACGAGAATTCTCATTAAAGCATCATGGAAATGTATAGTTGGAACCATCATAGACCATCACAGATTGTTGGCCCACCAGAATCAAACTTATCTTGATGGTTAACCATCATAGTATTAAAGTAGCATTTTCCATCATGGAAAGATGGAAGTTTGTTGGCATATCAAAAACCATGAAAGCATAATGGCAAATGTTGGATGATGGTGACCATCAAATAATGTTGGACCATCACGAATCACATTGAAACCAACATAAACCATCAAAATTTTTTGATGAAACCATCAAGAATTTTGACTTAGGTAATAAAGCTAAAATAATTTCAAAAAAAAATTATTTCTATATTTATTATTATCTGTTACCCGTTCTAGATTTACGTCATAAAATTAAGCAAGACATGTTTTTTGTGGTCCATCTTTTTAGAATAGAGATTAACTGAATTCAGCATCACTAGGCATGATGTTAGTGCTCGCAGCTAATTCATGATAGTCAAAATGCACCACTATCATGTAATTTTTATGGTGCACACCTCTTTTGAGGAGCAAAAGACACTCAACGGTAGTAGTATCGGTATTAAAATTCAACAGTATTGGTGTATTTTTAATTATTAACAAATATATTAATATATAATACTTTGTTCCTATATCAATATATTTAGTATACCTATTATATAACCCTTCGATATTTGAGTTTTGTTTGAAATACATTTATCACTGAGAGAAAATAAAATCGAAATTTTGAAATCAAATATAATTCTTCCAAGACCTTGATGAGGAATTTAGAGCATAGTCATTTCTTTATCTGACCTTTAATATACAATATAAAATATCTCCAAATAGTAGGGGGAAAATGGTCAAAATATTAATGCACTATCTTTGCTACGACTAGAAGAAATATTTTCTGAAACAATGGAAATTCGTTGTAGAATTCTCTTTAAAACCGCACCAATCACCACTCTACCGGAGTTAGCGTTTGGCTTTTGCAAAAGTTGGATGTTTTTTCGTTAGTGAAAAATCTCATCATCATCGTCGAAATTTATCTTGGGTGCCTGAAACTGTTTGCGGCCCTTTTCGAATCCACCTTGAAATTTTTACATTTGGGTAACTGTTTCTGATAACTGGAATACTGATTGGAGTGAAAAGAAAATTAAATATTTTGAATTTTAGATAAAGATGCGTCGTTGCAAAAATAAGCTTCCATTGGCCTGAGTTTTATATCTTCTCTAAGGTTTTCAAAAGCAAAAATTTCATTAAATCATGCGGTATCACAATTTATAGCTTTTTTTAAAAATTTTGCAATTTATCTTTGCGATATGATGGTCTAAGAAAGCAATGTTAAGATGGAGATTTATGTTCTTAGTTTGGATAAGCCATTTTGTGTTATTTTCGGAGCATTTTATTCTGGCATCTTTTCAGTTTCTCTAAGAGGGATGGGTAAATGTTAAACCTGGCTGGAGATGCGTAATATAGTATTGGACTGATCATTGAAATGTAGAGTAAGCATTCGAGTCTGCGTTCCATTTTAGATTTTTGAAGATGAATTTGTAATTTTTAACAGTCTGCTTGTGCTCAGCGAAAAATTTAGTTTGAAGTCTTTGTATTTATATCCTTTTCTGTTCAGCATAGGGAATATTAGTCAGTGGTTTGGTTTATTATTTAGTGCATTAGATTATTGGTTTGTGAATTCTCGATAGTAGTACAACTGACCTTCTTATTTCGGGTATCACCCACCAGAGTGGACTGCATCATCCTTTGGTCACACCAAAGTAAGGGCTGTTCAAGTTTAATAAAATCCTTTATTCTTAATCAAACTGAGGGAAGAGGAAAGGTATTTTTCTATTAACTCATGTTATTTGCGAACTATTTAAGTGTCAACGTCTAAAAATCTCGAATATGATAATACTGTCTCAGAGCAATTGGAATATGTGACTGCGGTGGGTTGTCCACGTATGAAACTTCTTTACACCTACTCGACAAAATTCATTCTCGAAAAAACCTAATTGGTAAAAAGATAATCAACATAAAGCTGTTACTGTACCTAGAAATATTATATGATGCATGCTCACTCGACAGGGCAAACTGATAATTAAAACGGTGGATTTGGCTATTGCCCTTGAAATCTCCAATTTATCCTATATTATAGGAATTGCAACATAATTAAGTGTTCTAGCAGAAAACATCACATCGAGATTTTTACTACAAGAAATTCCGGTTGACCTCACCATCCGAATTATATGTAACGTCATAACAATACACAGTAGTAATGTTATGTAAACACTTGAAAAGAAAAAACGTAATAATTAAATTGTGAGTATGAACCTAAAAATTAAGAGCTACGCTGACTTATAATACCCGCTAAATACCATCAAAGCATTAACAGAAAATTTAGCACCTTTTACACCATAGATACTGAGTAATAAGGACAAAAAATAATTTAAAATATTCAAAAAGTAATTTTCAGCATATTATTTAAAAATGCCTCCTGTACTTACGTTATGAAAACACTTCCAATAATTAAATTACTAATATTAGCCTTTTAATATAAGACTAAGCAGACTTTTAGTGCCGGCAACATACCAGTTATGCATTTTCAGTGAATTTAGTTTCCTTTACACAATAGAAAAGGAGTGACTAGAACCAAATATTTAAAAACAAAAATTATCTCAAATTAGTTTTTAGTGTACTTAGCTGCTTTTCGAAAGTTTGACGCCTAATTT